AACGTGGCAGCGGCCGCGGGAGCCAGGACGGCGAGGGCCCGCCCCTGCCCGTGGTTGCATCAGAAGGAAGGGTAGAGAGTGTACGAAAGAAGAGTTTGTCCACGGTGGCCTTTTAGTGAAGGAGTTCTTCCCCACCCTCCCAGTTTGCTTGAGATACTTCTAAGCAGGTCGCAAGGATGAGCATAGGAGAGGCTTGAGTCCTGGCCTGTGTCCCAGGACTGGGGCTGAGGTGTTCTTGCCTTCTGCCTCATCCCCCCATAACTCTGATGTAGGGATATCAAAATCCTGTTAAGAAGGGAGGGGCATTTGGGGATAGAGGATGAGGGGTGGAAATTGCCCCCCCCCCCCCCCCCCCCCCCCCCGTGTTCCCAGCAGATGTCTGCAGAGGCACCCAGTCCTTTGGCAGCTGAGGGCGAAAAGCGGGAGGGGAGAGTGGTGTGATGGATTGTAAACTTCACTGTTGAAAGCAGTTGAGTCAGGAACCAGACCAGGGAAACAAAACTTTGTCACATCTCAATGCACCCTCTGCAGGTTCCCTGGGGAGACACTGGGGCATTGTGCAAAGCTATCTGTAATCAATAGCCGGCCTGATGGAGGATGGGCTGGGGAGGGTCCCAGTAGCCCTGCCTCCTGGGCATCAGGCCTCCTGGAACCTGGTTCCTGGGGGGTGGAGATCTTCACGTGCTGCTAAATGAAAAGGAACACAGCTGTCCCTGTGCTGCTGGAGGCCACCAAAGCCAAATGGGATTGGTTGGGATATAAGGCTAAATTATACCTATTGTGTAGGTGCACCATCTGCCTACTCTGATAAAAAGATCTTTGAATTTCAAAGTCACCTTCAAACAGTCACCTTTTATTTTGCAGAGAAGTACTTTCTCTTCCTGTTTGGGAGTTAACAATGGGGGCCATTGATGAGTTTAATGCATTGTATTGCTTTGAGGCACTTGAAAACTGATTTGTTCTGGAGCCCCGAGTGGCTCCCATTTGCATTACTGCCAGTGAGCACCGGGGTTAGGGTTTGGCAAAGAGAACTTTGTAGTTTGCAGTCCTACAGCTTCCAGTTTAATGCCTTCATCGCGAAGGGTAAGCCTGGTGGTGAGAGCAAGGACTGATGAAATTGGTCTGCCTTTGACCCATGTATGGCCACCTTAACTTCATTTGTTTATTCATGAGGCAAACATTTGAATGGCCACTGTGTGCCAGCTACCATGTTAGGCACCTGGCAGGTGCAGAGAGAAAACCTGTGTGTGCGCTAGGCCTCAAACTTCTTAAAGTCAAACGAGACACAAGCAGGTTCTGATATAATTGCTGCGAAAGCATGTAAAAACTAAGGTGAGCACACCCAGAAGGAGCCCCTAAGGGTTGAGGTTGGAGAGAGAGGCTTGGGGGTGTAGGGATGGATCAGTTTGTGGGATGACTCAGAGGTTGCCCGGCATCCCACCAGAGAAAGGCGTTTTCTGAAGAGAGAGCAATCCACTTCTAAAGGTTTTGAAACAAGTTCTACTATGTGTCAGGCTGACTATGTCCTGGACTTTATTTGGCCTCTAGAGGATGGGAGCTATTAGGACAATAAAGGGACAGGACAGAAGTGGGAAGTGAGAGTGGAGAGGGTAACCAAGAACAGAGCAGGAGGGAGGTGGAGATTAGATGTTACCCAGTATGTGGCCGAAATGTCATCACCCAAATTCTTGTTAGGAGAGTCAGACTGGCAATAGGGAGGAGAACATAACTGAGGCATGATGGGGAGACCAGTGAAGGATCATGGCCATGAGCACCTGAACCAGGCACGCTGGTCCAGAGGGCAGGAGAGGTGAACCCAGAAGCATGTGGGAGGGAGCACTGGCAGTTCTCACTCTTGACTCAACGTGGGGGTGGAGAGACGGAGCAAGGACTCACAGATGACATCCGGGTCTCTGGCCTGGGCCACTGTATGGATAATGGACATACCACTCAATTGTAAGGTAAATCCAAGCCAGAAGTGGGGGAGGCAGAGGGTGGGAAATGATGGGTGTGAGCGATATGGGGTGGTTGAGCATGAAAAGCCGCCTCTCTGTACACAGCTCCTGGTGCAACAGTCCTCTCCAAGTCTGGGCTGCTGAGGGAGGAACATGGCTGAATTTGGGCAACTTTGTCACCACCATCTGACCTGATCCTGAAAGTGTGCCAGCTCTATGGTCCCTGGAGACACCTAGGCCAGAGGGCTGCAAAGTGGGGACCTGTAGGCTGCCTGCTGTGACATACAGAATAAATGGAAGTCATTATCAACTTTTAAAATCGGACTGATTTTACATATAGACCTCTATTTCTGGTTTCCCTTTGACGCTCACAGGCCATTATTCCCATGTAGCTGTCATTGTCTGGAGCAGCGGGGGCACCCTTGTTGGCAGCTGGCAGGGGATCTCCAGGTTTCCCTAGGCCCGTCCTGGCGGCTTTGTTCATTTCTGTTACCTGCTAGGTGTTTGTTGAGTTTTCCATCCACCCATTTACTGTCCTTTGTGGAAAGGCACAGTTTCTTTCCTTTATTTCCCACCACATTCCTTGTGAAGTAGGTATTGCAATTTGCAATTGGAGAAACTGAAGCTCAGAAAATGAAGACATTTGCCTATCACACAGGACTAGGTAAGATCCAGGTGTTTTGACTAGAGCAGTGGTCGGCAAACTGTGGCTTACAAGCCTCATGTGGCTCTTTGGCCTCTTGAGTGTGGCTCTTCCACAAAATACCACATGCGGGCGTGCACGTATAGTGCGAGTAAAACTTCGTGGCCCATGCGCAGAAGTCAGTATTTTGTGGAAGAGCCACACTCAAGGGGCCAAAGAGCCGCGTGTGGCTTGCGAGCCGCAGTTTGCCGACCACTGGACTAGAGGGATTGGCTTTGTCTACATCATAGCTGCCTTTCCCAGTATCTCACTCCTGAGATTTTTTAAAAGAGAGATTAAGATCATATTTATTCTTCCAACAGATATTAAGTTCTAGGTGTCAGGCTGACTATGCCCCTGCCGTTATTTGTCATCAATTAGATGCTGTCTTTTCCACAAGAAAAGGTTATTCACAGTCTGACATTAGGTCTCTGCTGGTCTGAGATTCTGTTCCTCAGCCAGTTTTGTATAACTGATGGGCATGTCACCTCTGTGTCCTGGCGTTGGAGCAGTGCCTGGCACATAGTAGGTACGTTTAACACTGCAGTGTTGCAAGAATTCTGCTGTGTCTGGCTGTGGTCTCCTGGAAGGAAGACTGAAGATACCTGAGGCTTTGTCTTTCAATATGGAGAAGTTACAATTGCAAATGAAAGGACCCGTTAAAGCTATTAGTAATGCTTACACCTTCCTGAGAAAGGAGCTCTGGCCCCCCAGGTACCAGGTGGGAGATGGAGACTTAAGTACTTATGAATTCATTTCCCAAATCTAATTAATCAAAAGAGAAACTGCCAATCAAAACTGCTGTTCACAGTAAGAAAATTTTACCACTGAGTTGATAGAATTCCAGCCCAAAGCAAAGAAACAAATCCCTAATCAACCTGTATGACCTCCTCCCAATAAGTGGACTATCAGGGTAAAACTTTTTTAAACATTAGGAATAACCTGTGGGTATCTTTGAAGTTTCCTACAGGGATGGAGTCCTTAGTTTGGACCCTTTGGCCTAGAGGTGGATGCTGGTGAATTCTAGCCTGAACTTTGTTTGGGACTAGTGTTTGGCGTACCTCAGTGGAGTCCAGTGGGAAATTGCTAGAACCTGGGCCAGCTGTGGAACAGGAGATACCAGTGGGCATAGGGGTCTTTTTTTTAAAATATATTTTATTGATTTTTTACAGAGAGAAAGGGAGAGAGATAGAGAGTCAGAAACATCGATGAGAGAGAGACATCGATCAGCCGCCTCCTGCACATCCCCCACTGGGGATGTGCCCGCAACCCCGGCACATGCCCTTGACCAGAATAGAACCTGGGACCCTTCAGTCCGCAGGCCGACGCTCCATCCACCGAGCCAAACCGGTTTCTGCGGGCATAGGGTCTTGAAGAGCAGAGGGTTCGGGTTCCTGGAGCTGCTTAGCTGCTCATGTTTCTTGAGTAGGTTTCATTGATGTCAAGGTTCTTTCATCCCCAACATTTTATGCTTGTCCAACAAGATCTGGTCTCTTGGCTTCAAGTGTCAAGTGTTTGGCTACAAAGTGGTGAGTTTAAAAAACAAACAAAACCACAAAAACCACAAGAACTCACTTATCTGTTGGTTTACATAGAATTTTCCATTTTTTTAGATTGGACCTAAAGTCACTTCTTCACCCATTGTACCAAATACCAGCTGTGTGATCTTGGAACAGTAATTCAAGTTCTCTCAGCCTCAGTTTCCATTATTCTAAAGACTACATCAGGGAAGACCGCTAGGTTTCACCTTACAGATCGACACTAATCAGTTGGTCATGCCTGTCTGCAGAGCACCGTGTTGAAAAGGATTCTGAGGCCACATCTCGGTTCATTAGGACAAAGGGGCATGACCCACTAGTAGTGTCTGCCAGTGGCACTGGGTGGGAGGAAGGCATGCCGTTCTTGGAAGAGATGAACTTGAAGGTCCTTTCCAGCACCATCGGATCATTGAGCTTGTGTCTATGCATTTTAGATTCTGCAGGCGTTTGATCTTTCTCTGGATCAGGATCATGCAAGTCTTGATAATAGCCTTGTGTTTTAACTACAGGAAGATTGTCGATCGAATTGACAGTGATGGGGACGGCTTTGTCACCACGGAGGAGCTGAAAACCTGGATCAAACGGGTGCAGAAAAGATACATCTATGATAATGTTGCTAAAGTCTGGAAGGATTATGATCGGGACAAGGACGATAAAATTTCCTGGGAGGAATATAAACAAGCCACCTATGGTTACTACCTAGGTAAGAGGTGCTGCAGGAGAGATTACACAGCTGGGGCCCACATAACAAGCTTTTTGCGGAGACTCTCTACTCCCTCATCATATCCACCCCTTTCGGGGGATGTCACAACCTCCTAAGTAGAACCTACTTGTGTAACATCCTGCTCTGCTTACTAAGAATGCACTTGGTTGCTTACTCTGTATGAGATCCTAGGTGGTGAGTAGTGGCAGGGGTCTAGGGTCTAATGAAAAGTGATTTAGGTTGCCACCCTCCCTGAGCTACGATCTCAAGGGTACACTCAGAACAAAGCAGAGAGGCAGCATGTCTCCCATACAGTTCACAGTGCTGCCGATTTCAGATAGCAAGTGGGCTGGAGCTATCGGGGAAGACTTCTGGTAGAGGGTGGCTTGGGAGCTGGGCCTTGAAGAATGGATTTGTATTTGGAGAGAGAGTGGGTGAGGTGGGTCAGCTGGAAGGGCAAAGGTACAGTGATGTATTTAGCAATGGGCAGGGTTTGGATATGAGACACACCCGTTTGGGGAATGATGGAATGGTGTGTGCAAAGCACAGGGTGCAGACCCGCTAGGTGTGTGGTCGACAGTGAGGGGACAGGTCTGAGAAGCACCGAAGATGCACACATTCACAGGCAGATTAAGGGAGATCTTGAAAGCCAGGCAGAAGCATTTAGACAAAATGTGGTACTAGGGAGCCTCTGCCTGTTCTGGAGCAAAGAATGATATGATGAAAGCAGGGTTCAGCAAAGCGAAGTATGGCTTTAGTATGGTCAAAAGCCTGTGCTCGTAACCACTACTAGAATTCCCTTAATATACCCAGTAGGGCTGTATTATGGGGTGGTAAGAAGGGGCAGATATGAGAGACATTCTGAAATAAATGGTGTCAGAGAACTCGAGAGGTCACGATCTTTAGTCCCATGTGTCCTTCTTTGGGCATGAAGTTACCAGTGATGTGGCAGGAAATGCCTTCCCTAGCAGCCCAGTTGAAACATTTGTGTGCACATCCTGCAGGAAACCCTGCAGAGTTTCAGGATTCTTCAGATCATCACACCTTTAAAAAGATGCTGCCACGCGACGAGAGAAGGTTCAAAGCTGCAGACCTCAATGGTGACCAGACAGCCACTCGGGAGGAGTTCACCGCCTTTCTGCACCCTGAGGAGTTTGAGCATATGAAAGAAATTGTGGTTTTGGTAAGATAAAAGAAGTCCCTAGGCTGGGAGAAGACCAGAGCAAATGCTACACCAAGATCTTGTCTTGTCTTCCAAAGAGAGAATGTTCTTCATCTTGAGGGGAATTGGAGAAGGACCCTGAAGTGGAGTGCATTGGAATACCTGTCCACCCAGTAAATGAGTCAGGGCAGGCTAGGTGCTGTAACAAGTAGCCTCCAATCATAGCCATTGATCACAATCAAAGCCTATTTCTTGCTTATATCACTTCCAAGGCAGATGATCCCAATCAGGTAGGTTTTCTGGGCAGTTCTCCTCTAAGAACCATCCGGCAGCCAGGCTGCTTCCATCTTATACACCACCGTCCTGTGGCCTCAAGGGCGTCCTGGTAGCTGCCAGCTGGTAGATAAGAGGAAATGAGGAGAAGGCATCAGTCTACCTAACTGCTCTGCCCAGGAAATGACACATCCCTTCCTTTTTCATTCTTCCGGCTCCTCCTAGATGTGATGAGGCTGGGAAATAGTTTAGATATGTGCTCAAAAAGAGCAAATGGGTTTGATAAGGAAACTAGTTAGTCTCTGTCCACTTTTCAGCTTTGAGGGCACTAAAAAAAGACTCTGAAATGGAATATGTTGGGTTGTTAAACTGTACAGAAACGTAAAGTGAAAACCATGGCTGGAAAGGACGCTCCCCTTAGCTCGGGTCTTCAGAGGGTGAATAGATCAGATCCTATGGGCTTTGAGGGTCAGCTATGCTTGTCAGGCCTCTGAGTGTGGCGGCTTTCCATAGTGTTTTGTGGAGTCCCAAATGTGTTTTTTTTTTAATGTATTACTGATTTCAGAGAGGAAGGGAGGGAGGGAGAGAGATAGAAACTAGAAACATCAATGATGAGAGAGAATCACCTATTGGCTGCCTTCTGCACACCCCTTACTGGGGATGTGCCCGCAACCAAGGTACATGCCCTTAATTGGAATCGAACCTTCAGTCCACAGACCGACGCTCTATCCACTGAGCCAAACCGGTCAGGGCAGAGTCTCAAATGTCTTAATATAATGTGGTCACTTGCTTCCTGGTCAGATAACCTGAGGCAAGCTGCCTCTGTGCTCTGAAACAGGTGGCTGAAGCTTTTGTTTCTAACCAGCTCAGGGCTATTTTAGTTATGCAGTTGGTGGTTGGGCACACTCTTGCCTCCTGCTTCATCCTCATGACCTAAGGACTGAGCAATGGCTCGGAGAATCATTTCTTTTTACTGCCCAACATCCACTTAGTGATAGCTGATTTGCCAGAGGGCGATGAAGATGAAGAATTAGCCATAAGTGGATTATGTGCCTTTGAGTTGCTGAGACAATGGATATTAAACTCATTGAAATATTCCCCATGGCAAAATGCCTAATCCTGAAGTCAAATATGCTAAATACAGAACATCATACACCCGAAAGTCAGAGAGACTTTTATTTCTTAATTGCCCGCTGTTTCATATTTTTCTGACACCACCCCATGTTCATTGTCCAGTTAGCCCTGGAATCTATCTCTGACCATCTGGTCCGGTGTTTCTCAAGCTGGGTCCTCCCAGGTACCCGCCGGGAATGACTTGGCTGGATGGTGGAAGTGGTTGGGCTGGCATATAACCAGGGCATCTCTGGACTTCCACCAGATGCCCTGGTTATATGCCCTTTCATAGAGTGTTCTGTGAAAACTGGGAGTAGGGAGGAAGGACGGAAACCATTGCATTGGTGCACAGGAGGTAAGGAGACAAGCCCGAAGTCACCAAGCGTTCAACCATAAAAGCCAGACGAAGGAGGACAGTAGTCAGAACTCTAAGACTGACGGAGAGCTCAAAGCCACCTTGCATTCTGTTTTCTGTTTGCTTCCTAGGAAACTCTGGAGGACATCGACAAGAATGGGGATGGGTTTGTGGACCAGGATGAGTATATCGGTGAGTGCAGCCTGGGTCCTGCTCAGCTGTCCCCACTGGGCAACGTTCCTCCACCCACGTGTACTTTCTCCAGACATCTCTGTTAGCAACCGCTACAAGTCTGTAGGTGTCGCTCTTGTGAGGGACTTGTTACACCATCCCTAGTAGTGCAGTAATGTCAGGGAGGAATTATTAGACCTCATTCAGTGGAGAAGAGACCAGAGGCTGGCCCCTACCTGTAGGATGGCCAGCAGTTGTCCCCACAGCTCTCAGAGGTGCCCTTCATCACGCTGTGTAGTTTTACCTTTGCGAAATGCGATTGGAGATGCCGTAGATCTACAGTGAGTGAGTGTAGAGCAGACATTCTCAGCGGAAGGACTGAAATCAGACTGGGTCAGCAGGGCCTACAAGCTCTAAGTAGACACAGCTATGATCAGCAGAGCTACTTATATGCCCAGGCTGTCTGCAGAAAAGCATTCCTTCTTACAGGTAAATCCTTTTGCAAAGTGCATAATCGCCCCCTAATAGAGCTGTTTTGTTTTTGATCCTTTCATTGGGAGGGCCATACCTAGCATTTTGTTCTGAAATGGCTCCACGTGAGCAATGTCAAGAAGTGCATTTTCAGGCAACTGAGCACTGCCTGAATGCAACTTGAATGTAGCTGGGTCGGAACCCACCATTGCTGGTTAGAGTCTTTCCCGGCAGCCCCAAGGCCCTCCAAGCGTAAAAGACTGAAGCAGGCAACATGGAAATTTCTATTTGATCCTCATCAGCTGCTACTTCAGTGCTTTGGCGCATGGCTGCCTTCTCATGATACCTTCTCTTTTCCCAAATCTCAATAAGGTAAAGCTGGTAAATCATTCGAGGGATGGGATCACTGTAATTCTTATACACATATTGATTAGAAGCTGTTAATTACCTTTCATTGTAAAACCAGAGCCCCAGTTGCCATCGGTCTTTGGCCTGTGGTTGTGTGACTTTGCCACCCCTTACCCAAGAACAAGTGCCTTCAGTAATGAAGGGCAGAATTGCTTCTAGCCATTAGGAATTGATCCCAGGAACGTCACGCTGTTCTGTCAGTCTGTGGTGTAACAGACAGGTAGCTTTCGCCACAGTCCTTAAAGTGATCTTGGTGGCACTAATTGTAGAATAACAGATGCTGACAGCCTCTCGTCAGGGCAAGAGCAGAGCTTTCCTCTTGCTTGGTGCTCATCTGAGGGAAGGTTCAGAGCCGCAGACACCTTGACAGTGGGGATGGGATTAGACTGATGGAAAGGCTGGCTGATTAAAACCATGCAGCACTTTTGACTAAGGATGTGTGCTCTTCCCAGCTTTCCTGAACTCTGTATTGAAACAGTGCAGCATCACAGGCACTTTAGTGGCTCTGCCTAAAACCAACATTCCATTCTGTACACTGAGCAGAGAGGCAGATGGGGGCATTGTACCTGCAAATCAAATTCTGAGCAATTTGCAGTCAGAAAGGCCTGTTGCATGGACTTGTCTAGCAAGTGACTTCTCTTCAGGAGGGAATGAGTGCAAACCCAGTGGTGATGTGTAATGGGAAAGAGCACAGTGGAATTAGACGTCCTGGCTTCTCCACTTACTCGTTTTGTGACCCCAGGGGAGTCATGCAATCACTTTAAGCCTCAGTTTCTTCATCTGTAAAATGGGAATACACAGCACCCATGCTTCCAGAACTGGATGGAGCTCAAGGTAGCTAATGTATGTGACAGCCATTTCTCAAAAACACTATGCAGATATCAGGTGTGATTCTCCCTTGTAGCAGAACCAAGGGTCTTACCTCTCTTTTACCTTCACTGCCTACTCCCTGTACCACCTGACATTCCCAAGTTGTGTTTCCATTAAAGAGAAATTGCCCACAGGGTATCTCTCTTTTCTAAGATAATCTAGTAATTTAGAAAACAGTGCATAAACTTTGCCTTTTTCTCCTTTTGCCATTTTGTAAAACAGGGATCATGATCTATCTTATAGAATTGTTATAAAAATGAAATAAAGTGATATACGTGAAAACCCTTTGGAAATTATGTAAATGACAATAGGAATGAACATGGTAGATAAGCCCATGTTTCTATGCAACCTCAAGCTCATACTAGCTGTGGCCTCAGTATTTTCATCTATAAAGTGGAAATTATAACAAGACCTACTTCATAGGATTGTTGTGTATGTAAAGTACATTATAAAGTATCTGGACCATAGATGGTGCTTGATGGTGGTTATGAGTTTCCACCTGTATAGTGCTAGTTTGGGTTTAGAGGGCTTTCATAGAAAGTGTCCCACTTGACCTTCATAATAACCCTGTGATTTGTAAATTATTATCATCTCTATTTTACAGACAAGGCAATTTAAGATTCAGCCATTGAAATGGGTAACTTAATCCTAGTCACTGAACTGAGTCATCTTTTATCTTCTGGCTCCTAAGCTCAGTTCTTTCTATTCCACCAAGCGACTTTCATAGTGGATAAATCATTGCAATATTATTCTCAAGAAACTGCCCACCAGATGTCTGGGTTAGGTCTCTAGATTGGTCATTGTCCTTCCAAAAACTCAGGAACTCAGGTTTTCTTTGATGTACCTTCCCACCTGTCTTCCTAACCAAGATCAACCTTCCTTTCCAGCGGATATGTTTTCCCACGAGGAGAATGGCCCTGAGCCAGACTGGGTTTTGTCAGAACGGGAGCAGTTTACTGAATTCAGGGACCTGAACAAGGATGGGAAGTTGGACAAGGATGAGATTCGCCACTGGATCCTCCCCCAAGACTATGACCACGCACAGGCTGAGGCCAGACACCTGGTGTATGAGTCGGACAAAAACAGGGTATTTCACATTCTTCTGGAGTCAGTCTTTGAAGGGAGACAGTTTACATAAGATTGGTTCTGTTTGCTTCTTTGTGATAGCATTGGCCTGTGCCCCTGGGCCTTATTGACATTTCTCATTCTGGCCCTATGTCAGAGACCTGTAAACTTGACCCAATACCATGATAATCCACAGTGAGATCATTAGGTCAAGACATTCCTGGAGAGTCAGCTATGGGCCACAGACTTACATTCACTCCCATTTCCTAGAATTGCAGAATTTTGTTTGCTGTGGGCAGGGCATGGATTTAAGAGACACACCCTGCATTGCCTTAAGACAACTTTGTTCATCCATTCATTCAGTCAGCAGATATTTATCCAACATCCATGATGTGTCAGGCACAAGAAAGTCCAGCCCATGAAAACATAAGGCATCCTCAGGCAAGCGCACACTTCTAGCTCTGTGCCCAGCACTTCAATATCTATTGATACATATCCACATAAATAAGTAAGCAGGATTTATAAAGACCTGCCTTTTTCCACTTTGATCACTGCTCCAACTCTTAGGAGACAATTGTGTGGTGTGGTCCATGAAAGGGAAGTGGACTTCTTCAAGGCCCTTTTTGGGAATGTCAGCACTGCTTGTAGACAGTTGGTCGAGCTTCTGAATTCCTGGGGGACTTACCTAATATATTTTTGCACAGCATTTACAGCAGGAGGCAGTTGCAGTTTGGGGTTTCACAGTGCAGCAATGGTAGATGAAAGAGGTACCTAGCAGCTTCTTAATTAATAAGTGTAGCGTTTCAAATGTTGCAAATCAGTGAACTAACATAGAGCTTCATGCTATTCAGTTACTAGAGCTTCGATAACAGCTCTTTCCTCTCCCCGGCAGGATGAAAAGCTAACTAAAGAGGAGATATTGGAGAACTGGAATATGTTTGTTGGGAGCCAAGCTACCAATTATGGAGAAGACCTCACAAAAAATCATGATGAACTTTGATACACACTCAGCGTAACATGACAGACTGTCATGGGCTTTCTTTTATTGTCTTGGATGGTTGCTACAGTTGACTAATTTATAGCAGTTGTGTCCCTGAAACAGCAGTTTATAACCTCAGATTGGGCTTAAAATTGCTTTTCACTCAATGTTTACTGCGAAATATTTCTATTCCTATTTCTATCATTTCTGTTCCTTCAATAAGATATCTCTACAAACACCTTAAAATCTGTGTAAATCACAATATTTTGGGGGGTGGGGATACATTACAAAAACATGACTTTTTAGCCTTTTTCATTAAATTTAAAGGGGAATAAGATTAGAAAAGGCCCTATTACTGAGAAGTTGGGTGGGTTGGGGGACCAGTATATGGAGTGACTGCTATGTATTTTAACTGAAATTTTTATATTCGCCACATTGAAAAATTAGTGAGGGAAAACTCTGATAAAGTTACAGTAGTGTCACCCTATGTGGGCTTATTTCAGAGCAAGTCTAATACTTCAGATTCTTCCTTCTTGCTTGACATATAAACGAGGTAGGTCTGATCTTTGAAAAAGTGGATAGAGAAGTGATCCGTTTCCTTGCTGATCATCAACAGGAATGTAGGAGGGAATCCCAGGGAAGCCTGCCTGGTTGGGGGCTGGAACCCAGTCCCAGTGATTCCACGACTCCTCGACCTGCCAGGGGACCACTCACACCGTGGAATTAGGACAAGGTGATATTCCAAGCCATTGGCTGAACTGGAGGAAACAACGTTTACAGGTTGAAATACTACCTTATAAGTAGGAAGTGAATGAAATAAAAAAATCCCACTGAGGATTTTCTACTGTGTCCTGTGGTGTTTGACTTTGCATGTATTGTGCCATTATTCACAGAGAATTAAATAGGATGGGTTAACATGAGTAAAATTGCAAAGGGTCTGGGGGTTTTAGATCAAGTACCAAGAATGTTCAGAATATCCTTGTATTTACTGATTTAATAAATGGGTACTTCCCTCTTCCTCTATGCTAGTTATGGACTCTGTAGGCCATTTTAACAGTAAGATCTTTCTAAGATAGGTCTCAACTGGAAGAATATCCAGGTTTCTCACCAAGCCCTCTGAGTCTGGTCCCTTGCTGTCTCATCAGCATCACCTTATCACTCTCCCATTTGCTTCCTATTGCTGGCCCACTGCCTTTCTGGTCCTTGAACACCAAGTTCACTCCTAGGTTGGACGCTTCACACTTGCTGTCGCCTCAGATTCACAACACCATCTCTCCCATTCTCTGGGAACTCAAAATGGTACTTCCTCAATAGAGCCTTCCAGACTCCAACATTTATAGTATAGTCACGTGCCACTGAATAACAGAGATATGTTCTGAGAAATGTGTTCTTAGGCACTTTTGTTGTGTGACCATAGAGTGTACTTATACAAACATAGATGGTGTACCCTCCTACACTCCTAGGCTAACTGGTACACCATCGTCGTGTATAGGGTCCATCATTGACCGTTATTAAGCAGTGCATGACTTTAGTACCCATTCAAATCCCTATCTTATTTCTGTTTTATTTTTTTGATACAGATTTCCATTGGTACTTGTTCCCTAGGGCTGCTGTACAAGTTACCCAAAGTGAACGGCTAACAGACAACAAAAGAAGCGTATTCTCTCAGTTCTAGAGGCCAGAGTGACATCAAGGAAGCTCTAGGGGAGAATCTCTCCTTGCTTTCTTCCTGTCCTCATCCTGAGATCCTTAGTTACAGCTGCAAAGACCATGTGCCACTTAACGACAGGGATATATGTTCATATTCACAAATCCCAGGCTAGGAGGTAGACAACCAACCATTCAACCAACTGTAACACTTGACAGTATCTTGTTTGTATATTGTTCATCTTCCCCAAGTTGGAATGATGAGCTTTGAGAGAACAATAGAGTCTGGTCTGTCTAATTTACTCCTATTTCCAGGAATTTGGAACATGAGAGCCAGCCTATAATAAGTACTCCAAGTATTTGCTGAAGAATGAGAGGTTGTTAGCTTTAATCAGAGAATATATGTCAGGGGAAGAAATTTTTCTGGAAAATATAAAATAAACAGTGAACATGTGCTGAATGAGAATATAAGTAATTTTGTCCAAGATTCCACAGTGATTAGATGGCAGGGACAAAATTCAAATCCAGATGTTCCTGTCTTCGAGATCTCTAATGAGAAATACTGTGATGTCAGAAAGCATTATTTATATGCTTAATGGCACTGAAAGCATTAATTGCTAGGAGCCGAAATCTGTCCAAGCAAAGCATGAACACATTTTGTACCTCATGTCTCTTCTTGTAGGTGTTTAGCACTAAGTTTCACTGCTCCAAATCGCCAATCTGACATAGGTTTTCTTTATTTCTCTGCTCTCCCACAGTACATGATTACACGGTCAGGAAATGAAAATAGCTCCTCCTACCTAGAAACAGGCTGACAGCGTGTTTTTTTTAAGCAGTGAAAACCTGTCTTTAAAAAAATTAGAAATTCTGTGTAACCTAATTATAAGCATAACACTTTAAAAAGGTGCTAACATTCTTTTTCCCCCAAAAGGGAATATCGGTTGATTTATTAAGTTATACACAGTAAGATGTTAAATATAGTTTGAGCACTAAGTTTTTCCTTTCAAGTCAGTGCACACAAGAAGAGAACCCTCAAAGAAACCAGGGCTTCTGGGGCTGAATTTAACACTATTTAAGGAAAGAAAATCGTAGCTAGGGGACATAGCTGTTAACATGGTGATTTGTAAAGCCTTAGATTTCTAATAGGGTCTGACTGTTTCAAGGAAAACATATCTTGTTTCTAGGTAACATTTCAAGTCCGATTATGAACAAATGCTACAAAATCGATCTGTAATGAGAAATACTGTAATGTCACAAAGCATTATTTATCTGCTTAATGGGACTGAAAGCATTAATTGCTAGGAGCCAAAATCTGTCCAAGCAAAACATGAACACATTTTGTACCTCGTGTCTCTTAATGTAGGTTTTTGAATGAATTCGAGTATAACGAAAATGTAGTTAGAAAGTCAGCAACACCTGAATGTTTTCTTCACCCGCTTGGATTATCATAGCTGTTTCTTGTTAGCAATGGCACGAATCATACTTGCTCAGAAGTGCCCAGCAAACAGCAGACACGTGGCTATTTGTTAGCTTGGCTCTAAAACATTGTGAAGTAGTGAATGGCTGGCTGGGTTTTTTTTAAGTTTCTCTAGATTCATTTTGCCACCTTTCTAATAAAACCTGACTTTTCCCTAGTACGTGCACCTAGATCAGTGATGGCGAACCTATGACACGCGTGTACAGAGGTGACACGCCAACTCATTTTTTTGGTTGATTTTTCTTTGTTAAATGGCATTGAAATATATAAAATAAATATCAAAAATATAAATCTTTGTTTTATTATGGTTGCAAATATCAAAACAATTCTCTATGTGACACGGCACCAGAGTTAAGTTAGGGTTTTTCAAAATGCTGACACGCCGAGCTCAAAAGGTTCGCCATCACTGACCTAGATTTAGCTCTCTCTGTAGTCTTAAAACGGAGTTTATAGTGTTAGAATTTCCCACTAAAAACCATTAAGTGCCATCATGCTCACTGCTGTAGCTCACACGGAAGTATTAAAAACCTGAGAAGTGGAAAGATTGTGTCATCAGTATTTAGAGTAGTGAGATTTATATGAATTTGGAGATATATTCAGAGTCTATTGTCACTCTTAATTCGGGTCAGTTCTGGGGTCCAGGGCTGGGGAAGACCCACCATTCTATGAGCTGTAAATACCTCTAATTTTCCTCGTCAAATAGAAAACAGTGTCCGATTCCCCACAGAAGCACATGAAATGAAATACTTTTCTTGAAACTTGTGGAGTGGGAGCACTTCTTTCCTGATAGATACAAATAGCTGTGCACCAGGCACCAGGCCAAGTACGCACATACATTTCTCACGTAACCTTCACAACAGGCCTATGAAGTTGGTACTTGTAAGAAAGAGGGTAAGCTGGCTTGTGCTGCGGTAACAAATAACTCTACCATTTCAGTGGTTTAAAGCAGCCGAGGTTTAATTTTTGCTTTTGCCAAGTCTGCTGTGGTTCTGGGCAATTGTCCATGGGGCTTGCTGTGTGTCTCCAATCCACCCGTGTCCCCTGGAGAATCATGCCAGGCCATCAAATGTAGTCACTCCTGAAAGTGACTTTGGTCCCCCATGCTCATTTCCATTGGTCAAAGCAAGCCACGTGGCTACGTCTAACTTCAAGGGAGCAGGAAGTGCATCCTGCTGTTGCTCAGAGGGGTAGGGTGAAAACCTTGGTGTAACAAAAATGTTATTCCTGGTAAACAGTGGTAACTGTACTATTTTCACCATTTTACAGGTAAGAAAACTATAAAGGGAAATAATGCCCAAAGTTACACAACTCAAATTAGGTGACTATATTATTGATTGTCCAGACCATAATATCCTTGCCAGTGAAGGGGCACGGTCTTAATCAGTACCTCCCCAAATCTGGGGCAACCTGCCTTGCCCACCTTGGGATTCAGAGACCCACTCTGAGCCTCTTCTGGCTGGGATCTCCCTCATGGGTGAAGAAGTGCATGGGCCAAAGGGTTTTGCTCACTCAAAGCCAGGGCCTTTGCCTCTAGATCATGTTCCAGGTACCTGCAGTACCCAGAACTCCCTGCCAAAATAACCCCAAGCCTCTTCCAGAGCCTGTGTGTGCACCTCCCAGGTGGATTTTCCAAAATGCAGACAAAGCCACACCTAGGCCCAAAGGACCCCAGGGGCAGCTGGTGGACTCAATTTGAACATGCAGGTTGGGGTGTTCACACACACACACGGAGCCCCTTGGCAGGAAGAAAAATGGTGGAATGACCCATAGACCTTTTCCACTTTTACTCTAACCTCGGGACCCACGGTAAAAGGAGTGAGCCTGCCGTCACACTGGGACAAGCAGCCCTGTCCTGGGCAAACTGGAACCAGTGGCTCCTCTATTTAGAAATGGCAGATCCAGGAGGATCCCACCCTCTTAATTACCCGACTATGTTGCCTCCAATTTAAGAACTTCTTGGTGAAACCACGGCTAGTGTTATTATAATTTTAAAAATTCATGGCAATGCATGTTGTAATTTGAAAATTCAGGACCACTGGGATGAGATGGAGAGTTGGTGGCATGGAAAAACAGGTCCAATAGCCTGGCTGGATGAGAGTTCTAGTTCTGCCTCCCCGGGGCTCTGTGACCTTGACAGGTCACCTTCCTGCAGAAGAGCCTGTTCTGACTGTAAATGGGGACACCTCTCGGAGTAACTACAAAGATGAGGTG